TTACACACGACCAACCACACGACCCGAGAGCCCCACGCAGCGGCGGCAAAGGTTTGTGCCCTTGCCAGGGACGTTCTTCTCCACGTACGTCCCACACACAGCGAACTCAGCGAACGAATCATTTATTCCACCACTTCGTCCCATTTCATCCCCACGTCTATCCACCCCAGTCCTACCCCTCTGAGACCAGAACATTGCTGCACTGCCATGGCTCCCACTCCTTGTTCCATGCAGCGATCTCCTGCTCATCACCAACAAAAAGACGAACACCCAGACCTTTCCACCACCGCCCAAACAGATAAATGTCCAAACTCCTCCGGACTGTAGTCCGGCTCCGGAACGTGCGCCTTGCACACACGCACGCATGTATGCACACAAACAAGCCAGTCGATTTCGCACGAACGTATTAGCAAAAAGAAATCACGTCAGTTTCCCCCACGACACCGAAGCGCGCCTTGCGCTTCACGCGCCGCTTCGGCGCGGCGACCTCCCAACACAAGTAAAATGATTTTTTCGTTGACCTCTCTCCACACAATACATTTGTAGCACACGCCGACACGCACGAACACGTAGTTTGGTTTCGGCGCACCTCGGGCGCAACAGCCGCAGCAGGGCGCTTCACCATGGCCGCCTCAAGCAAAGAGTTAAATATTTTTCCCATTTCCAACCCCCCGCATGCCTTCCCCTCCCATTCCTCCCCAGCCGACTCCCAAACACATCACGAAACGAATATAAAGCAAACACGAGGTCCCCACGTCGCCAGAGTAGGAGTCTGTCGGGGCGGAAGCTTGGGCAACAAATGCTGCCCCATTCGAAATATGAATCGAATTAAAAACAATCGTGTTCATGAATAAACGACGTAAAAAATATCCGACCTCGCCCTACTCCTCCCCCCCACCCCCCACGCCAACACGAACAACAAAAACACACCACACAACCATCCCCTAATCCTTCCCTCCCAAACATTTTTGTTCTGACATTTAAAACTCCACACGTTTCGTGCTCATCAGAAAATAGAACCACCCAGCTCCCCACACGAACGCAAAATATTACATCTTGTCTCCAACCCAAACCACCGAATCCGAAAGCATACAAAATCCTTCCCCAATCCCACATCCGCCCAGCCACCCAACCTCCAATCCCCCCACCCCTCCAACTCCACACATGATTTTTGTCCAATACAATCGGAAAGAACCCCCAGCCCCTCCCCCCCCCCCCCACCGACCCACCCCCCTACCCGCCCCAATCCCACATCCACCCACCCACCCAACCTCCCATCCCCCCACCCCCCCATCTTCACATAAGATCTTTTATTTTTCCATTACATTCTGAGAAAAAAAAAAATAAACCCCCCCCCCCCCCCAACCCCCAAACCCACCCACCCGTACCCCCCCCCCATACCCCGCCCCACCACCCCCTCCCAACCCAGCTCCACCGTCTTGCATGCTTTAGGTCACTGATTAGATGACGAGGCATTTGGATACCTTGACCGAGTCCTAGTTGCTCCCGCCGTTTACCCGCGCTTGATTGAATTTCACCACTTTGACATGCACAGCACTGGGCAGAATCACATCGCACCAACAACTTCTGAGGCCAGCGCAATGCTTTATTTTAATTAAACAGTCGATTTTCCCTTGTCCACGCCAGTGCCGACATGGTTGTTCGCTGCCCAGCGAACACGCCCAAGAGTATTCCATGTCCGGCTGTCCTCGCCATGCAAGATTCCACTCTCCACCAGAGGCGTCAAGTAGCTTCTGCTCAGCTCAAACGTCAAAACAAGGAGCCCTGTGCCCAACCGTCAGAGCCAATCCTTTTCCCGAGGTTACGGATCTACTTTGCCGACTTCCCTTACCTACTTTGCTCTATCGACCAGAGGCTACAAACCTTGGAGCCTCATGCGATTATAGATACCACCAAGGGTGTGAATAAGTCTGTCCCTCGGCATTTCGATGGCAGTCGAGAACGCACGGGACACCTCGGTAGACAAGGCGCTATACTACACCTCCTAAGTCATTTCACAAAGTCGGACTAGAGTCAAGCTCAACAAGATCTTTCTTTCCCTGCTGATTATCCCAGGCCCGTTCCCTTGGCTGTGGTTTCGCTAGATAGTAGGTAGGGACAGTGGGAATCTCGTTAATCCATTCGTACGTGTCACTGATTAGATGACGAGGGTTTGGATTCCTTAACCGAGTCCTAGTTACTCCCGCCGTTTACCCGCGCTTGATCGAATTGCATCACTTTGACATCCACAGCACTGGGCAGAATCACATCGCACCAACAACTTCTGAGGCCAGCGCAATGCTTTGTTTTGGTCAAACAGTCGAATTTCCCTTGTCCACTCCAGCTCGGAGATGATTGTTTCCTGCCCAACGAACACGCCGAAGAACATTCCATGTCCAACAGGTAACGAACGATCCTTATTAAAATGTTCCGAAATTTCTCTCTTCTCTCTTCTCTCTTCTCTCTTCTCTGGTCTCTCTTCTCTCTTTTCTCTTCTCTATTGTCTCTTCATTCTTCTCTCTTCTCTCTTCTCTCTTCTCTCTTCTCTCTTCTCTCTTATCTCTTCTCTCTTCTCTCTTCTCTCTTCTCTCTGCTCTCTTTTCTCTTCTCTCTTCTCTCTTCTCTCTTCTCTCTTCTCTCTTCTCTCTTCTTTCTTCTCTCTTGTCTCTTCTCTTTTCTCTCTTCTCTCTTCTCTCTTCTCTCTTCTCTCTTCTGGTTTCTCTCTTCTCTCTTCTCTCTTCTCTTTTATCTCTTCTCCTATTTATCTTTTCTCTTCTCTCTGCAATGAGATTTTATGAATATCAAACAATGATCATGAAATCTCAAGAAATTTGATTAATCAAATTCTGAGGTTTCACGATCATCATTAGATATTCATAAGACCTCAGAATTTTGCTCCGATTGATCGAATTTCTCTGAATGAATATAAATCATATCTTTCTTTTCTCTGTTCTCTTCTCTCTTCTTTCTTCTCTCTTCTCTCTTCTCTCTTCTCTCTTCTATCTTCTCTCTTCTCTCTTCTCTCTTCTCTCTTCTCTCTTCTCTCTTCTCTCTTCTCTCTTCTCTCTTCTCTCTTCTCTCTTCTCTCTTCTCTCTTCTCTCTTCTCTTCTCTCTTCTCTTTCTCTCTTCTCTCTTCTCTCTTCTCTCTTCTCTCTTCTCTCTTCTCTCTTCTCTCTTCTCTCTTCTCTCTTCTCTCTTCTCTCTTCTCTCTTCTTTCTTCTCTCTTCTCTCTTCTCTCTTCTCTCTTCAATGAGGTTTTATAAATATCGGAGAATGATCGTGAAATCTCAAGATATTTGATCAATCAAATTCTGAGATTTCACGATCATCATTAGATTTTCATAAGACCTCAGAATTTCGGTCCGATTGATCGAATTTCTCTGAATGAATATAATTAATTTCTCTCTTCTTTCTTCTTTCTTCTATCTTCTTTCTTCTTTCTTCTTTCTTCTTTCTTCTTTCTTCTTTCTTCAATGAGGTTTTATGAATATCGAAGAATCATCGTGAAACCTCAGGATATTTGATTAATCAAATTCCGAGGTTTCACGATCATCCTTAGATATTCATAAGACCTCAGAAATTTGATCCGATTGATTGAATTTCTCTGCATCAACATAATTAGTTGTCTCTCTTCTCTCTTCTTTCTTCTCTTTTCTCTTATCTCTCTTATCTCTTCTCTCTGCAATGAGGTTTTATGAATATCGAAGGATGATCATGAAACCTCAGGATATTTGACTAATTAAATTCCGAGGTTTCACGATCATCCTTAGATATTCATAAGACCTCAGAATTTTGGCCCGATTGATCGAATTTCTCTGAATATATATAATTAATTTTCTCTCTTCTCTCTTTTCTTTTCTCTCATCTCCCTTTTCTCTTCTCTCCACAATGAGGTTTTATGAATATCGAAGAATCATCGTGAAACCTCAGGATATTTGATTAATTAAATTCCGAGGTTTCACGATCATCCTTAGATATTCATAAGACCTCAGAATTTTGGCCCGATTGATCGAATTTCTCTGAATATATATAATTAATTTTCTCTCTTCTCTCTTTTCTTTTCTCTCATCTCCCTTTTCTCTTCTCTCCACAATGAGGTTTTATGAATATCGAAGAATCATCGTGAAACCTCAGGATATTTGATTAATCAAATTCCGAGGTTTCACGATCATCCTTAGATATTCATAAGACCTCAGAAATTTAATCCGATTGATTGAATTTCTCTGCATCAATATAATTAGTTGTCTCTCTTCTCTCTTCTTTCTTCTCTTTTCTCTTATCTCTCTTATCTCTTCTCTCTGCAATGAGGTTTTATGAATATCGAAGGATGATCATGAAACCTCAGGATATTTGATTAATTAAATTCCGAGGTTTCACGATCATCATTAGATATTCATAAGACCTCAGAATTTTGTTCCGATTAATCGAATATTTCTGAATGAAAACCCTAAACCCTAAAATATAATCCCTGCTTATTATTAATATTTCCAGCTTAGTTTCTTTTTGTTTCTTTAATTATTATTATGATTATTATTATTATATTTGATCGAAGATCAATTATTATTATTTTTATTATGATTATTAGTATTATTGAAGGTCCTTGGCTTAGCCTTCTCGCCATGTCACTTGCAATTCTCTCTCTCTTTCTCTCTCTCTCTCTCTCTCTCTCTCTCTCTCTCTCTCTCTCTTACTTCACTCTCACTCTCACTCTCTTTCTCACTCTCTTTCTCACTCTCACTCTCACTCTCACTCTCACTCTCACTCTCACTCTCACTCTCACTCTCACTCTCACTCTCACTCTCACTCTCACTCTCACTCTCACTCACATACAAGCAACACACAGCAAGCAGGTGCAGGCGAGGGCTTACCTCCATCGAAGTACTCGCCGTCCACCTTGTAGCCTGACGAACACGTTTTTTTTTCCCCAGCTCTCTCTCACTCCCCCCTCCCTCTCTCTCTCTCCCTCTCCCTCTCCCTTTCTCTCTTTGACTCTCTCTCTCTCTCACTCTCTCTCTCTCTCTCTGTCCCTCTCGCCCATCAGCTTTTCCGCGCCTTGACGCCGGGCAGGTCGACGCCCACCCGCCCACCAGCGCCCGGACCCCCCACCGCGCCCCTACAGACTGTTTGAGCAAAAGCACGCGGCAACGTCATGCACGAAACACACATGTAGATGCGTCACTTCAGAATCCAACCGCCAAAAACAACACTCAACCAACTTTTCCCTACAAAATTCAACATATATCGAAAAACGTGTCGCCCACTACCTAAAGATCCAAGCTACCAGCAAGAAACCAAACTCAAGCCTGAGAATGGACGCTACCCTAAGAATCCAGGCTACTTAAAGAATCCAGGTTACCACGAAATA